AAAAAGAAAAGATAATAATAATAACATTGATGTAGATCATCGTTGTGGTTATGATGTTGTACTCTTTGAATATAAAAATATGTTTGATTCCTAAACTTTAAATATGTGTTTATTGACATACAAATGATAGTCATAATAAATATTGTTAATGGTATTTGTATTGATTTATATCATACATATTGAATAAAATTTAATAATACTATAGTTATTATATAGTTTACTTAAATTATTTTCTACTTGATATAGTTAAATTAATTATTATTTATTATAATTAATAAGTTTAATGTTCAAAAGAATGTTTATTACTAAAAACGTAAATTTTTAACATTTTAAAAGTATATAAAATAAGTTTTGGGCAAATGATGTTCAATCTTAATTTTTTTCCTTTTTAATTTTTTGTGATAACAATTTTACGAATTATATAACTAATTTATTATTATAAAGTACTTGTACTTTATTATAATAAATAATAATTATTATGTAATGTAATTATGATAATTACATTACGTCATGTAATTATCATATGTACGCAAGACTTAATTATATTCATGAAACATTATCTCCGTCTTATGAAATAGAACAATTTGTTGATGCCAAGAGAAGTGAAAACTCATTGACCAGTGTTAATGGGGGCTAAAAAAAAGTTGTAAGAGATGACTCTTCTTAGCTATGCAAACCTAGGATTATAATTTCAAAGTAATTATTTGAAAGGTAAGTCATAATTGAATTCTTCATAATTATATAACAGATCTGAATCATCGCATAAATTCAAGAAAAAAAAGGAAAATCTCAATTAATAAGTATATTTTCCGAATACGTATAATTCCCTACTCTGCTCAAAATTCCATATCAATTTTCAGTGGAAATTCATTCAAATTGCATGAATTTCCACTTTGATTGATTACAAAAAGAGTGTAATTATGACACCACGCTATTTGTCTGTTGTTAAAAACACTTGTGACTTCGTTGCTGAAATTTTTGAATTTTTTGAATCATTGCAGTTATCACACCACCAGTTGTCCTTATCTTACGTGTCGATTTCTACATCAAACAATAAGACGTCTTCTGTTGTATTCCATTAGTTCATGTCTTTATAACGACTTGCACAACATCACCATTAGCAACAACTTCGTCTGGGTCGATGCTCTTGTATAGTTCTTTTCCATTCGAGTAGTTTTGCAGCAACTGGACTACCTCTGATATTGATATTGACCCACCAATCAACACAAAAAATGTCAGGGCTTCTTTTGTCCGACTTGGTGTTTTGCAACACATTCTCGACTGCCTTATTGGTGACTTGAAGACGTTAATGCTCAACTCTTCAAATTATGCCTTGTAAATACAACGTAGAAGTCAATACAATCGTACAGCGGATCAACCTCAGTGTTTGCTATTGACAAATGGCAAACACCGATTTGCTATTTGTTTCCAAATGACAGTGTTCACCATTTCTCAATTTTATAATGATCGAAGTTTTTTCACACCACATACATTACTTGAAATGCCCTTATTGTATATCATCTTAAACTTTGTATGAAGTGGTCGACAATTCTGTTGTCGAAGTCTTCACCGCCAATATGCGTATTGTTATTGATCGCTTTCACCTCAAACACTCCATTATCAACAGCCAACAACTACACATCAAAAGTTCCAGTACCAAGATCAACACACTTTTTTTCGCTCTTCTTGTCGGCCAATATATAAAAATTGTTGCTGTCGGTTTGTTGATTGTGGTGTGAGTCGTTGAAGTAAACTGGTCATGACAGCATTGCTAACTTTCTTCCCAACAATAAATTTGGTGGTTTTTTT